GATTGAGATAAGTATCCACTAAGTCACTACCTACAAGAGTAAATAATTAATTAAGATAAACTAAAGAATAAAAATTAAAATTAAAATAATAAAAAATCCTAAATATCTGCGTCACAAAGACTTAATTAAAATAAAATTAAATAACCTGGCAATTGATTAACCAATCAAAAAGGACCAGAAGTAGAAGAACCTAGTAGTCGGATCTCTGTGGAAAAAAAAAAACACAAGTATGTTGAACTATTGGAAAATAGAGAAAAGAAAAGAACCTATGAAAAACCGTAAATGTTCATATCCATTATTTCAACAAATCATCAGCACAAGTTGTAATAATAAATAATAAGGAGAATTTTAAAAAAAAAAAAAGCTCTTGAACTATTTTTTAGTAAATACCTCTTAAATTTCAAAATCCCAAATCAGTAAATTTCAAGTGCAATCAATTGCTATTAAAGTGCAGCAAATAAGATTCATTTGAAATTTTAAAGTTTAACCAATGTTTTATTGGGGGGTTTTATTTGAAAGACAATAATGGCAATTGAAATATTTTGTTTTTTTTTTCCATGGGTTCTTTCTTTTTCTATATTTCCCAAGATCACGGATCCAAGCATGATTGCTTAAGCAACCAAATATTCAAATATTACCTCCGATCCTAATTATAAAATGTTATTTGTAAATTACAAACAAGATTTTATAATTAGAACCAGAGATAGTGCAAACAAATAAAAAGATACTAATTGCAAAACAAAGATTGATGAAAATGCTTATACAGTTTACGAAATCGGTAAATAAGGGGAATAAAAAAAAAGGGAAGAATCATTAATAACATGTAATTAATGGCTCTAAAAAGTATTCATCGATGTTGATTGCCAGATTGAATCAACCTGTTTTTCACTTAACCGGGCATTGCAATATTTTAAGAGTAAATTTTTTTAAGAATAAATTTGATTGATTGATATTTCTTAAATATTTGGGGAGAAAAAACAAGTCAAGGCAATTATTTTGGAAATCTTACCTAAATGGTATTTTCTTTTATTTGAATTACTTCTTCATGTCCTCATTATAAGATACTTTATAGAAAAGGGAATGGTCCTCATTGTAAGTCATCTATTGGTATATTAATTTCATTTTCTCAAGATTTCCCCTATTTAAAATATCATAATAGCAACTTCTATGAATTTTTTAATGTATTTCATACGTTTTCATTTTCATCCAAATTTAATGATTCAATCACGTCCCATTGATTTTAATGAGATAATAAAAAATGTCTTATAATAAAAACTAGAATAAGAATATCATACAAAAATAATAAAAATAATGATTTAGTGTTTATGTCATTAATAACATTATTAATTAATACATTTAATGTGTTAATTAAGTTAATCTTAAATTTTTAATAGAAGCAAATAATCTTCCAACAAATAGTGAAAACTATTTTGCAGCTACTTATATTTTTCTCTAATTTTTAATTTAGTATCTATACGTTTTTTTATTAAATCCCTTAAACTTACTTTGTTAACACCGTTAGCTCTTGTACAAGAGTTAACAGTGTTAATAGAGCAAAGTTATAAGAACTAATGATACTTATAAAGTAAAATTTAAAAACGTAATCAATAAAAAAGTATAGTCATCGAATTAAAAATTGAAAAGAAAAGTTTATATACCTGTAAAATGGTTTTTCAAACTGTTTTTTGTCAATATAATTATTGCACTTTGATACAAATATTTTTGAAGATATTTTATATTATAAATGCATATGAGTCTTCAATGTTCTCTAATACTTTAAAATAAACAAAAAATAAAGTACCATAATATACTCTGCTAGTTCTTAATATAAGAGTTATTTAATTAATTTGAACAAAATAAAAATTAAATAAATTACTTAATTCTAATACATGTGACGTACTTTATGTGAAATATTTTGATGTAATATCAGATTATACATAAGTTCATAAACAAGATAAATTAGTTTAAAAAAATGATAAATGTGAAAATAAAAGGGTTAAAGTTTTATATTTAAGGCTAAAATTAACTCACTTACTAGCTCTTTTATTATATTAATTTAAATTTAAATTTCAAATATAATAAACTTATTAATTTATTAATTTAATTAAATAACTTATAAATAATAAAAAATTCTGATACTAATAAAAATTTGGCAGATAAAGAAACTAAAAAAAAAATATATAAAATTTAACAAAAATTTGATATTTTGAAATTCTAGAAATTCTCAAATTCAAATTAGTAAAATGAATTAATTTTGAAATTAAGGATGGAGAACTGTACATATATACACAAACATACATTGTGCGTGTGCGTGTTTTGTTTGGGGGGGGAGTAATTTTAAAGTTTGGATCCTGAGAATTTAAATACTACCTCTCCTTAATATAAAACTCTGTTTAACTTTTATTTTGGTCCTAAATATAAGATCCTAATCCACTTTGTCTCTCATATTTACTCAATTTTTTCCAAGATAGTCCATCTAATAATTATAGTTATAGTCATACATTTATTAGCAAGGATATTTTAGGAAAAACAATACCTATTTAGGACAAATAACTAACTCAATTTATTTCTTTAATCTCCTCAAATTAGTCAGCTGGTTCTTATAATTAGGACCGGAGGTAGTATAATCTACTCAATAGTGTTAGTTTAGAATATGATTCAAGTTTTTAATCTACTTCCTCCGTTTTTATCGATAGGACAAAATCTTAGAGGGTCCCTTTAATCTATGTCGAAAGTTATGATATATATATATATATATATATATGGAGAATAAATAATCCTAAATCTTTTTAATTCCTGAATATAAGAGCTAATTATTGTCATCAATTTCTGGTGTTAAAATTAGTTTTCAAAATTTACATTACCATCAAAAATTGGTTTGGTCCAAAATTTAGTCTTTTATTTTGTCATAATCTTTTCTCATCATTACGTTACTTGTCACAACCTTTATACTTACAATATGAACAGATATCCTTGCCTAATAAGAATAATTTAGTGCTAATATCATTAATGATTAACTTAAACTTTTAATGGAAGTAATATTTTTTTTTCTTAGAAAAGTCAAGTAGATAGGCTTCCAAAAAAAAATTATAAGTAGATTGGCTTCGTATAAAAGTTCAATTATTTTATTGAAGTCATTTGGACAGGTGTTTAGCAAGTGATAAAATTACTTTTAAAAAATATTTTTCTGTAAATCAAAACAAACTTCTTATATTTATTTCATATACTATAAAATCACTTTTAAAACTATAATTTAGTATTTATTCAAACAATGCAGAGAAGATTGGGCTTTATATACGTGCGCGCGCGCCTGTGTGTATATTCATGTTAGACTCAAGTTACCCAAATAGGCAGATAGAGAGAATTCTCCAACACGAGTTTTTTCAGGATATGACCTTTAACCCTTTTTTTTTTGGCCAAAGATGGGACCTCAACTTTAAATATTATGCACAGTGATAATTATGAACTCCATGAACTCTGGCTCTTTGTAAGGAGCTCAACTTATTTGAATCTCGAGATTTCAATACGAAAAAATGACAAATAAAAAAGTTAAAAAATATGATATTCTAAATTAGGCATCTAAGAGTTACAAATGATAAAGAAAGAAGTGGTGTTTGATTTGGTATTTGGCAAATGTAGTTAAATGACTGAAATCTTATATTAGAAAGTTTATTAACAAGTTTTAAACTGGCAAGTTTTGAATAAGAAATAACAAAAAATATATTGACAATAACAAATTATCTATTAACAAATTGTGAACTGATAATGTCAAATGTTGAATAATCAAGGACAAGAAATATACTAGCAATGATATTGATAGCTTTTTTTCCCACAAATATAATACAAGAGCATTTTAGTTATTTAACTATATTTGTAAAATACTAGATTAGACAGCACTTTTTCTTTGTCATTTTCAACTCTTAGATGCTTGAATTAGGAAATGATAATTTCAGAGTTCTTTTTCTGGAATTTTTCCATTTCAGTATATAGGTGTGTTCGTACGTAATTGAGATTGTCAAATAATTCAAGAATATTTAAAACTGTATGCCCAGCAAACTAATATTACAAGCACAACAAATTATGCATATGTGAAGTTACATGAAACTAGTTGTTTAGGCTATTAGAAAAATAAAGAAATAAATCCACCCTCTATCATTGACCCTGTATCCCAGACCATTTTACCAACTTTACTAAGACAAAAAGGATTCAAAGATAAAAAAAATATTCCAACACCCGATAGACTTCAGAAAATCCTAAATTAGGACTCTCACCAATTTGAATGTCTTGAAAGATGCAGCACCCAGTTTACGGATAGAAACTTGTAAATTAGAGACTAACCCTATATTCATGAGTAAAACAGAGGGGAGAAAAAATTGTAACGAGTTGAATTTAAAAAATTAAAGAAATGGATCTAAAGTTTTCAATTGATTTTTATTACTCTTTTATCTTATCTCACTTCTTTATTAAAATTTTATAGCCTCACTTTTTCAATTTTCTAAATTGAGCTTATTAAATCTTTTCTTCCCTCAATGATGAGACATGAAAAAAATATTTATACTTTTATTATATTTCTAGAATATCTGAGTTATTTAGATTTATTATCATTTTAAGATTTACTTAGATTTATTAGCATTTTAGTATTTTTATTATTAGGACTAGTTGTTATTATTTTCATTCTTATCATTATTAGTATAATTAGATCTAACGTTTTCATTTTATGATAGACTTAAATCATTAAATTAGATTGATAGTTATCGTTATTTCTCCCGAACTTTTCTTTTCCTATTCTATTTTCTACTTCTGCTTCTTCTTCTTTTCTTTCTCAAATCTTTCTCTTCTCTCCTTCTCTCTTCTTGTTTTACATCAATAACCAAACATAGGGCAAGGGAAACAAATAAGAAGGATGGAAAGGGGAAAGAACTCATAAGCGTTCCTCTATATATATAATCAACAAGCACCCTCAACAGGAATTAAGTTACTTTCTAAAGATATCATACCCAGCCTATGAAAAGCTGAATAATATTCACATATAGAGATATGCACAGTGTCACACGCTGTTAGAGTTCTTTCAACTCAACTCTGCTAATTAACTTCTGAAAACATCCCTTGCCAACGCTATACAAGGAAAGGAAGATATCCCGTCACTTGAGCAGAAATTGGAACTCACTGTATATACAAAGAGCATTCACCCAATAAGTGAAGGACTTTATTGGCCATATGTGCCTCTACACTATTTACATATCTCTAAGCCTATATACATTGTCGATGTAATCTTCTGCCTCCCAAAGGAATGATCCGAAAGCCGCAGCTTCCATGACCAACCTCCTCAAGCTAGAAAATGAAGTTAAAATGACATCATCACTCTCGACCAACTCACATTTCTCATTGCCGAAAAGAGCAAAACCATAACCCTGTATCAATTTCAGAGCCTCTTCAGATCTCAGATTAGCACATCTCTGCAGTGACCCAGGGTGAAATCCCATTAGATAGTCTTTCAAATCTACAGTTTTCTCTTCCTGCCTTTGATCAACAGACGACAGGTTATTCCTACGGCCAAAGATCATATCACTGAATCTATAATGAGAAAAATCATGAAATGAATGGCCAGTCCTACCACTGAAACAAAGATCATCATTACCCAAAGATAAACTTCGATCCAGGTGGTACCTCAATGCAACTGACTTCAGAAAGTAACCATATAATATCGAGGCAACGTAGATTTGGGCAAGCATGAAATGTCTAATCTTAGTTTTTGCCCAAGTCTCTCTCACGCTACAGTTTGCTTTCAAGCCAGTTAAAGTTGTTACATGTTCTTTTAATAAATCCAAAACTCCCAAACTGTGAATGGATTCTAGTTGCCAGTCCTTCGAAGGCAATATCTCTAGCCTACCATTATAGATGCATCTGGACAGCTTGGGAACCAAAGGAACCCTGATCTCAGAAAACTTGTAGAAGATCAGCAAATACATGATATCCAGTAAAATATTTTGACATTGATTCTCTTTTATTTCCGCAATCCTCCTGGCATCAAGTAAAACTTCAGGTCACTTGTCATTCAAATAATACATAGTAAGGAGCATTATGCATGCATCAGGGACTAAAGAAGTTGGTTACTATGATGTTTAACTGTTCAAGGCTATGACTTTAATGCCAAGCAATACCCAATTCATAAAGTCATCTTGAAACCACTCAAGGTCTACAGGTCAATAGATAATGTAACAACAAATAACCCAGAGATGAGAAATAATATCGGCTAAAACAGAGGAAGTCTGGTTTGTTGAAAAAAATGGATGCTGGTTGTACAACTTTGAAGTTTTGGGCTACTTTCATTACTCAAGTCGCCAGTGTTATGCATACACATCAGGGAACAAGCTCGTATCTCACTCCCAATAAAATGATTTATAGCCAACCCAGGAAATATAAGGCCCCTTGGTTACTTCACCAAATTTATCTACTGTTCTGTCCAAGAACAAAGAATCATTGAAGAAATAGTCCTCCATATGGTTTCAATATTCAGAGAACTTAGCAACCATAATAAAAAGTTATCTATATGTCTGATACTTAAAATTATAACACTCCAAATCCAAATACATGCAATGACATAAATATACCACTACCGGAATTTTGGCAAGATCTATTCCTTCAAATAATATCAAAAGCAGAGTTATGTCTCTCAATGGTAAGCAGAGTCACCATCAGTTGCAGAGCTACCCGTTACAAACGGACGCATAGTGCGCGAATAAAGAAGCAAGATTCACAATCAGTTGACTGAAAGCACAGAAAAGCTGAGTCGTGTGTGGGTGTGGGTATGGGAATGGTCTGAATAGAACCGCAAACCTGTGAAGTACTTCCTCATCAGAACCCGCACTAAGTGCCAAGCGGGCAATTGCAGCCTCTCGATCATCAGACAAAAGCCTCAATTCTTCGTTGACGGTAAGGTGGAACAACTGGCGATGGTTCTGCAAGACGCCGCCTAGAAACTTACCCACCGGCGTTTTAAGCTTGAGGGGCGAGTTCGAGCTCAACGTAGTGAACTCGCAGGGAGTCGCGCCGGCACTCGCTACAATCTTCATCGGCCCCCGGCCGCAGCGGCTCAGGGGGTCAAAAATACCATACAAGGGCCTGAATGGAGAAGAAACCACGGCCTTGTGAGGGAAATTACAGGCCAATTGGGGCTTAGGAGAGGAGAACAACGCTGAAGAAGAAGAAGGGATAATGAAGTTGGGAAGATGGCGGAGACAATTCTCCATGAAGAGAAGTCAAAAACAGAGAAGCTAGGATTGAATTGAAAGGAGAATGACAGCGAAAGAATAGTGATTGAGAGGATTAATAAGAGAAGGAAGGATCTGAGAATTGGAGCCTAAAGGGAGAGAAGTGGAGCATCGTGAGGAATGATTTCCGTGAGCAAATGGGAAGTGAAATAATAAAGGATAGACCCAATTGCAATTGGAGCATCGAAGGATTAGAATATCTTAAAAATTTATCCATTAAATTAAACTAATGTTGTTAGGAATTAGGAGGAGCTGCCTATATTTTTATCAATTTTCAATTTAATATTTATGTGTTTTTTAAATTAAATCTTTGATTTTACTCTATCAAGATCGTTAACTCTTACATATAAACTAAAAATATTAAAAGAACTAAAACTATAAAATAATTTAGCAAAAACTGCTAAAAGAAAACCATCCCGTGAAATATTTATTGGAAATTTGTTTAACTGCCTGCCTGCAAATCATCATCAGATACATAACCCTTTTTCGGCTGAAACATATATTTAGCAATGTGCAATTACCCAAAGAAAAGTTGTGTCTATTGAAGATGAGCTGCATATGCTCGATTTAAATTTTTTTTTAAAAGAAGATCTGAAATAAGGAATTTTTAGCAATTTTTTCAATAATTTAACATTTTTATTTAAAAAAAGACAATACTTATATTAAGTTTATTATATTCATTATGTCCAGTTTGCTGATTACACATGATCATTTGTCATATTTTTAAAATATTAACATTTAATAATATTTAATTATAAATTCACAAGAAAAAAAAAAAGGCATATCATATGTATAACTGAAAAATTTGACACAATACATATAAAGAATGTAACTTGAAGTTTTTTTTGCTTTTAAGAAATTATAATTTTATCTAAATGTTTGATAAGACATTTAAAATGTTATCCTCGCATACCTACATGGTTGTCTCTTCTTCTTTCCCCTTGGCCAGCACACGTATAACTGTCTCTTGGTTAAACGAAGAGACGACTGAATTGATTTGTCTATTTCATGGATAATTAAGATTTAATTTTAATCTTTTTTTTTTTTTGCCAGCATTTAATTTTAATCTTGGACATAGTGCAGTATATATATGAAAGGTTAACCATCACTGGCTTTGATGAGGACAAATTACATATTATTCTATTTGAATTTATCTAAGAGCAAAATGGATTTCATTCTTATCCACAAGATTCATTTGATTTGAATTAGGCTTTAGCCGGTTTCATATTAGTCCAATCTTTCAATGGAGGGAGGAAAAAAATACAAAAATATCTGTAAATCTCAATTTAAAATTTCAAAATGGCCTAATTTCTAGAAGTTTTTTTTTTTATGATGCTATTACTTAAATGCCATTAATTAGAAATACGAAAAATGAAAAAAAAAAAAGACTAAATGACAATATCTTAAGAAATACTACCTCCAGTTCTTGATATAAGAGTTAGTTTGACTTTTAATCCATTTTGCTCCTCTTACTTATTTATTTTTTCTAAGATAATCACTATAATAGTTGCACATCTTAAATATTTCATTACATGATAGTTTTAGCTGATATATATGATTAGTAAGAATATTTTAAGAAAATAAACACCTATTTATTAAAAATAACTAACTTAATTAATTTTTTAATTTATTTAAATTAGTCAACTAGTTCTTATATTACAAAACTAGACATAGTGATAACTTTAACTCATCCGCTGACAAAAAAATGTAACTTATCGAATGATACTTATGATTAAGGTATTAACAACCAACTAGCATTGAATTTCCTATGAGATACACGGGTAGAATTTACTTTATTATGAAATCTTTTTCTTTCATAGTAATTATGAAATCTTTGTCATTCTATAGTATCAGCACAAAAATATTACAATTTATAAACAAAAACTAGAAATTTCTCCCATGTGCACATTAGCATATTTAATTATATTTAAAATTTTAATAAATTGTATTATCTACTGTAGCTCAGGATTTATTTTTTATACGAGTATGATTTTTTTATTCATTCAAATAAAACTTGAATTTGAAATATGAAATTTAAAAGGAATAGATGAAAATTTAAATTTATTTATTTATTTCTCCATTTAAACCTCCAATTGATATTATTTAATTATGATGCTTCATATTAAATGTAATATATTCAAATCCCAATTAAGATATTATTCATATTCAAAATTAATTATTAATTTTTTATTTAAGCTTTCAATTGAAATTTTATTTATTTATAATGCTTCCCATTTAATTCAATATATTCAAATTTCAATCAATATGTTATTCAAATATCATAAATCAAATATATTCGGATCCAATAATGTCATACCTGATCCATTTTTAAATGAATTGGATATTACAGATTTTTAAAAATATAGTTGATGATTTGTCTAAATGTAATCAGTGGTTTTTTTTTTTTTTCATTGTAGCAATTATAACAAATCAATTCAATATAATTTATATGGATGTGCGAACTACTTTTAGAATGAACCATACAACATATCAATATGAAATAGAATGAAATGAAATATTTGATTGAAAACTTAGCAAACCCAAATTGAATATCAATGTCAGTTTCTTTTTTCAACACAGTTTTATCTATAGTTTAAAAAAATTCATCTTATTTTTAAACACGACTAAAGCTTTGTTGACTACTAAAACTATAAAACCACATCATTCACCTTAATTTAACGGTAAAAAACTTAGCAAGAAATAAACCATGGGACCTCCCCCAACCAAAAAACAAAAACAAAGTAAAGAGATGAAAATAAAATTGCTGTCATTTCTATACTTTGGTGCAATTGGAAGAAAAAACATGCCCTCAATGATCTAATCGACACCATTAAAATCATGGAGTTTAAATTTTGAATTTGGACAAGGAAAAGATTAAAATCAGTAGGTACACTCTTAGGTTGGTTTGCTTTCTCCTACTTTTGAGACAGGATTTTAGCACGAAGCCCAACATAGCGAGTCCAAATGCTAAATTAAGCCACTACGGTTCATATAACTAATAATATAGAGCATACAAGTTTAAGTTATACAGATTGTCGCATAAAATTCTGCGTAAATATTAATAGGAGAAAAAAGTTTCACAAGTACTTCTTTTAGTTCTAAATATAACACATATTTTGTAATATAAATTATATTATAAAATGAGTCTTATATTTAGAACTGAAAGAGTAATAATTTTAAAATTTGAAAGAAAAATAACTTTAACTTATCATATCATAATATGAATCAAGGCAATTGATAACTAATTTTACTTAGAACAATTAGGTCATTTTACAAAAAAAAAAACTTAATTTTAGAATACTCCCTAAAATTTTTATAGGAATTTAGACATGCATGGATTATTTTGGAATTATTATTTTTTTCATTAGGTAATAGGGATGTTCAACTTGTCCCGTCTTGGTCTCAGTCAATTCAGGACAAGACGACACAGGACAAAAAAATTTCTAGAAGAGAGGATTGGGGGTGGGACAAAACAGCAACCAGGATAGGACTGGGTGCAGGATGGACTCATCCATCCAGTCCCATCCTATCTGAGGGTATTTTTTAAAATTATTTATTAATAATTATTATTAGATTATTTAATTCACTTATTAATAATAATTATTTTTATAGTAATTTTCAGCTTTTAGGTTGTAATATTATCTCAACAAAATCTCTTTTCTCAATAAAATAATTTATAAAGACTTTATACATTGTTTCTTTTTACACTTTTTTAATATTATATAGTTGAACTTTTTGCATAATATTCTTTTATAATATTTTTATTTTTAGAAGCTTAATGAAAAACAAACAAACATTATAACATTAAAAAAAAATTCTTACTCAAAATTACAATTTTTTTAAAAAAAGAAACAGAATGTCCCGTCAGGATCAGAATGAGATGTAGATGAAAATCCTATCTTGTCCTCCATTCCTGCTTACCGGTCCCGTGAATAGCCTTACTAGGCATAGATCCTTCTATTTGGATGCAAGACCGCAATTCTATTTGGGGATAAAATACCTTGTGGTGGTCTTTTCTGTCTTTCTACCTTATTTAAATTGGGCTTGGTATTTATTTGGGTTTGTGAGACTATCACTCTTAATCTTGGGCCGTGGCAGTGGTTTTATATTTACTTCTGCCGCCCAAAAAGTTACTTCTATGGGTTGCGGAGGAAAAGTATTTAGTTCATGAAATTATGATTTTGCAATTGAAGGTAAACATTGGATATGACTAATAATTAATAATGAAAGATTAGCCAGTTTAGCTTTTCTTTTCATCCAAATAAAAACCATGCTGAACTATTCAGCCTATTATTGTTGTTGTTGTATTCCGCCGTAAAACATTATCGAGAGAAATTAGAAATAGATAACATAACATAATTGACTTTTTTTGTGTGATAAAAATTGACTTTGCGCGAGTGCGTGCGTGCGTGCGTGCGTGTTTCCTTGTTGCTTGTTGGCCATTATGCCTGGTTGTAATTTTCAAAATAGGGACCATGATTTCTGGGTCTGTGAGGAGTCGGGCTCTTAGGAAAGGAAGGAAAGAACAAGAATACTCACACATATATGTGGATAGTTGACTGTGAGACAAAATACTGAAGTTAGAATTAGAAACTGATTGTAATTAATTTGTTGGATCTTACCGGGATGTCATATGAATATTTTGCACGACCTAAGAATTGGAAGAGGATGATTAAACTGAAGTTGTGGAAGCTTGAAGTTTGCTGTTTCATTGGGTTATGGCATTAGGTTCCATGAAAGATAGTGAAAGAAAAAATAAACATTAAAAATAATCAAGGAATAAATATGGATAAAAGCATGTGGTTGAGTGATAATGTGACGTGAGGAACTTAGATTTTAGTAGCTGTCAGACTATTCAAGTGTCTTGTTTAATACTTGGCCATGTCAAATAATTGCCCAACTATCTAAGCCATGTTTAGACATAATGAAGGCTGGTTTGAAAGCTAATGGGAAAGCTGGAAAATTTACAGATTTAATGAAGATTTGCTGTTTAGAAGTGATATAAGAGGTGGAGTGCTCTTGTGTTGAGGAAATTGAGAGTTTGAGTGCTGGAAAGTGATTTAGATTTGATGTTCATGTTTTTAGATGATAAATAAGTACCTTAGAGGATTAAATCATGCTA